AGGTTCTGGTTTGCGTTTATTCTCTATTCTGTGAAGAGGCTTAGTGTGAGAAAAGAAGGGGATGATCAGTTAGTGTCTGGTGATAATGGGTTTAATCTATGTCAGATACTGAGGGCTCTGAAGCTAAAGTATGTAATTCTCAATTCGTCCTTCTTTATCATTCTTTTAGTTCATCTGAAGTGAAAGTAATCTTTTTTCTATTTTCAGTATTGTGGACTTTTTTAGAGAGCTACCTCAGTTTGTGGTCAAGGCTGGATCTGTATTAGGTGAACTTTATGGCGCAGACTGGGAGAACAGACTTCAGGTACTGCCTAACCTCTTTATATGTTCCTTTATTTTTAATCTACCAGTGCTGTTAAATATGCATCTCTTAACTTGTGTTACTTTACTTTTTACTAGGCAAAGGAGTTGCAGGCAAATTTTGTGCATCTTAGCCTTCTAAGCAAGTGAGTTTTGCCCCCTTCCTATGATGCACTCCTTTTACGTTTTTGTGTAATAGTACTCGTTGACATAGATTCTATTTTATACACCTGGACTTAGACGCAAATTTTCTTCCTATTCAATATGGGCGTGCAGTATACCTTCAAATTTTTATTTATTAAGATTCAAAGTTACAGATTTCTGGTATTCTATGAATTGTTTTAAGGACTTGTTTAAGTATGATGTTTTGGTACCTTTCCTTGGTAACAGATACTACAAACGTGGGTACCGGGAATTCTTCTTGACATATGATGCAAACGCAGAAAAGAACTCAGCAAACTCTTCTAGCTATCTGCCAGATAGTTATCGTTTTGGATGGTTACTCTTTTTGGCACTCCGAAACCATGCATTTAGTCGATTTAAGGACCTCGTGACATGCTCAAATGGCCTAGTTTCTATATTGGTTAGTGACTACATGTGGCTTTCCTTAATCTGTTGTTCATTTTAGTCTTGCTTAACATTATTACTTGAAAGTCGCTTTGTTTTAAATAATGTAATTAAGTGTAGGCTAACTCCTTTTCATGTTATCAGGCTATTTTGATCATACATGTTCCTTGTCGATTTAGAAATTTCAGTATCCAAGATTCTTCTCGCTTTGGTGAGTGTTTATTTTTTCTTCCCTCCTGATAACCATGGCAGCAAGGAATGTTTATCCTCTAGTTTTATTTATTTGATGAATTTCAGTTAAGAAAGGCGACAAAGGTGTAGACTTGGTTGCATCACTTTGCAAGATATATGACGCCGCAGAGGATGAGTTGAGAATAGTAATTGACAAGGCAAATAATTTGGTAGAAACAATATTGAAGAAAAAACCATCTCCAGCATCCGAATGCCGAACTGACAAGCTAGATAATATTAACCCAGGTAGGTCTAAAATCAGTTTCCTTCTACAATTAAATAATCATGTAAGTTCATTGAACAGTTGCCTCATTGTTCGTTGAATATGTGATTGATGTTTTACTGCAGATGGTTTGACATACTTTGAGGATTTACTGGAGGAGACGTCCATCTCAACTAGCTTGATTACACTAGAAAAGGATTACGATGATGCAGTTTGTAGTAAAGGCGAACTTGATGAGAGGGTATTTATCAACGAAGAGGATAGCTTACTTGGATCTGGAAGTTTATCCGCAGGAGCTGTAAATATTACTGGTGTCAAGAGGAAAATTGATGCTTTGGGCTCACCTGCAAGGACATTTATAAGTCCACTTTCTCCTCATAAGTCACCTGCTGCGAAGACAAATGGTATCAGCGGTGCTAACAAGTTGACAGCAACACCAGTGAGCACCGCAATGACAACTGCCAAGTGGCTCAGGGCTGTCATATGCCCGCTTCTGCCAAAACCTTCTCCTGGATTGGAACATTTTCTTAAATCATGTGATAGGGATATAACAAATGATGTCACACGAAGAGCACACATAATATTGGAAGCTATTTTTCCAAATAGTTCCCTTGGTGCCCAATGTGGAGGTGGAAGTTTGCAAGGTGTTGACTTGATGGATGACATATGGGCAGAGCAGCGGAGATTAGAAGCTCTCAAGTTATACTACAGAGTTCTTGAGGCAATGTGTAAAGCAGAAGCTCAGATTTTGCATGCAAATAATCTGAACTCGTTATTGACAAATGAGAGGTTCCATAGATGCATGCTTGCTTGCTCAGCTGAATTGGTACTGGCTACCCACAAAACCATAACAATGTTGTTTCCAGCTGTTCTCGAGAGGACTGGGATCACAGCCTTTGATCTCTGTAAGGTAATAGAGAGTTTCATCCGACATGAGGATTCTCTGCCTAGAGAGTTGAGACGGCATCTGAATTCACTGGAGGAACGGCTTCTAGAGAGTATGGTATGGGAGAAAGGATCGTCAATGTACAATTCTCTGATTGTTGCAAGGCCAGCGCTTGCATTGGAGATAAATCAGCTCGGATTACTAGCTGAACCGATGCCATCCCTGGATGCAATTGCAGCACTTATTAACTTCTCTGAAGGGGTACATCATGCATCAACTATTCAAAACCATGAAACTTGTCCAGGTAATGTTATTTGTTTTTGGAAGTGAAGCAGCTTTCCAACCTGCTGTTAATGATCTGATTTTCTTACCAAAAAATGTCAAATTTGCTGCCATACAGGACAAAATGGGGGGATTAGATCTCCCAAAAGATTATGTACTGATTACCGCAGCATCCTAGTTGAACGCAACTCCTTTACGTCACCAGTAAAAGATCGTCTGTTGGCCTTAGGCAACGTGAAATCCAAGATGCTGCCACCTCCATTGCAGTCTGCATTTGCCAGGTAGATTTTCAGTGACTATGGGTAGAAATGGCTGAGTTAATTTACCTTTTAGTTGTCCCTTTACTTGTTAAGTTAACCTTTTTGGATTTATTTCTACAGCCCAACACGTCCCAACCCAGGAGGCGGAGGAGAAACTTGTGCAGAAACTGGGATCAATATTTTCTTCACAAAGGTAGGTCAATGCGATCTTTGGATATACTACTAATTGTTTGATTAGATGTACTATATCACATGGTATGGATTCATTGTTTCGTCTGGAAAATGTGTTAATTTTAGTTTTCCTACTCACTTATGGTGACTCTTCCCAGATTAATAAATTGGCTGCTGTCAGAATCAATGGAATGGTGGAAAGGCTACAGCTTTCGCAGCAAATTAGGGAGAGTGTATATTGTCTCTTCCAACATGTACTTGCTCAGCGGACTTCTCTTTTATTCAATCGACACATTGACCAGATCATTCTCTGTTGCTTCTACGGGGTGGCCAAGGTGAGTAGAGTGATTCAAAGGTCTTAACTTTTTGTCATCTGGTTTGTAATTGCTTCTCTTCTGCTTACACTTCTTCCCTAAATTACCTTGTAGATATCCCAAATGACCCTGACTTTTAGGGAAATCATATACAACTACCGGAAACAACCACAGTGTAAACCATTAGTTTTCCGCAGCGTTTATGTGGATTCGTTACAATGTCGCCGTCAAGGGGTATATATATTCACTCTTAACCTTACGCTGAACAAGTCTCTTTACTCTGTGGAGAAGACTAAAAATTTGTGATATTGACTTTAACAGAGAATAGGGCCAGATCATGTTGACATCATCACATTCTACAATGAAATATTTATTCCAGCCGTAAAGCCGTTGCTGGTGGAGCTAGGTCCTGTGAGAAACGACCGGGCAGTGGAAGCCAATAATAAGCCTGAAGGTAGTTAAAGAATGCCAGATGGATACTTGTTAGACTTAAGCTTTGTTTATCAATCTAGTCTCTAAGTTAAATGATCATCTTATTTTGGATTCGCAGGTCAATGTCCTGGATCGCCAAAGGTGTCTGTGTTTCCAAGTGTTCCAGACATGTCCCCTAAAAAAGTATCTGCAGTGCACAATGTTTATGTTTCTCCTCTTCGGGGATCAAAGGTAAAGAAGAACCTAGTACTTAACTCTTTATGATCATATGACTAAGTCTTGAGGAGGAGGTACGTGACAAGATTGTTTAATTACCTTCCATGTGTTGTGTAATTGCAGATGGATGCTCTTATATCACACAGCTCGAAGAGTTACTATGCTTGTGTTGGAGAGAGTACACATGCCTACCAGAGCCCTTCGAAGGACCTATCTGCCATCAACAATCGCTTGAACAAGTAAGTAAAACAATCACATTTCTCATCAGTTTCTTCCATAAAACCAATCACTGACCCAACCCAATTTCATCTGGTGTCACAGCAGCAGCAGCAGCAACCGCAAGAGGACGCTTAACTTTGACGTAGAAGCAGGGTTGGTCAGCGATTCCATGGTAGCAAATAGCCTTTACCTCCAAAACCAAAATCAAAATCAAAATCACAATCAAATCCAAAATGGAAGCGACGCATCGTCCTCAGGTGCAGCACCCCTTAAAACCGAGCCAACAGATTCATAGATTTTCTCTATTTGCAACTTATCTGCAACTATAGCATCTGTAAATCCTATGAGGCAGAGTTTCCTTTTATGTTTAGCTTTCTAGTTTATAGTGATCACCTCAGGCTATGAGCGGATGAATCCCTTTGTGGTTTTTTTTCCTTATATGTCTAGCTAAAGTCAGTCCTAATAAGGTTTAATAAATGTCTTTTTTTTTTTGTTCACTCTTCTTAACTGTGTACTAAATTAGTTTTCCACTTTTCTTTTCTCTTTTTTTTTATAAAAATAGGTTTCTAATGTTGTTTTTTGGATACGTTATACCAAACAGATTACACAAAGGAATCCAAATTATATGCAATGCAGTTAAAAGGCGAAGATGTGATTAGCACTAAATTGTTTACTAGGAATGGTTAAGGCCAACAGATTCATCGAAATTTCTATAATTTGATTTTAATCTTGGTCTGGTCTTCTCTGGTATATGTCTGATTTTGTTGCTAACTGCTATTGCTTACAAACTACTACAAAGAGGCAAAAGCAATTCCACAACTGTAACAAACAAATTAGAATTGTCTGAAGCAGTTGTCTTTCTTTCTTCTCTACCCGTGTCAGATTCCAGAGCTTACAGCTCTCGCAAGCTTATCTTACTCAAATAATGATATTACGGGCTAAATTTAGAACAATCTTGCAACTTATGAAAAGATCCTCCGCAAAGTTGAGGAAAATATTCTTACAATGGCTACAATCACATTCATAGATTGAATATCTGAATTGGCCAACGATGCTTCTGACCCTTTGAGCTCAGCCCAGTAACCTCTAAGGAGATGTCAATGCTGCGATGCTCATATGATCGTGCAACACTCACACGCAGATGAATGCTTGAGGCAGGACACTCTTCAGTTCCAATGTCTCCTCTTCTGTCATCACCAGACAGAAATGAGGCCGGAGCCATTGAGATTGGTTCTTGGAAAGTTAAGACTGTCTGAGCCCAGTGTGTTGGGGGAGTGTAGGGTGATGTGGATAGTACAGTTGGATTTTCCTTGCAGAACCTACTGGTGAAACCTGTGTCAAACCACAACACAACACCATGGCACAACCTAGTTTTTGCTTCTGACTCAGTGGGCTCCAGCGTTGCTGTTGCTGTGAAATCTACTTCATCCGGTTTCATGGTAGCCAGGTCAAATGTCTAGAAACACAGAAGTTCAAGGAAATTAATTTCAAAGTTTTTTCTGGCAAAAGCAAATAAAGTTATGACCATTCAAACCTGAAGAAGGGCAGGCTGCGTCACTAAATCACGCTCCTGTATAACGTCAACAATGGGAAGTCGAGCAGTATCTTCAAGTATTTCCTTACCAATTGAAGACATGTCAAAGCCATAGACATCTTCCCAGAAAGGGAGACATGTGGCACCTTTTCCAAATCCGGCAACAAACTGATCCAAGGAGAAAAAGGGATAAAACTCATCAAGATGAATTCACGAAAAAAATAACATTTGAAGGGCAAAAGATAAATTTTACCATAGTGGCCGTGTCAGGGAGGATTGCACCTCCAGGTTTTAACCACCGATCTCTTGCATAGAGCACAGAACTGAGCATTGACTCATATAAAAGGCAGTATCCCATCCATTCGCTGACTAACACATCAACACTATGAGGTTGAATCTGTATCGATTTCTCTAGCTCTTCAACCATTGAGTGTGCAACTTCAAGTACCCCATTATGCTCGTTATCACTGAATACTTTGTTATCCTTCGCAATCTGCTAGCAAAAAATTGTCAGCCAGGCAAAATATTAATATATATATATGAGGAAGAAAAGACAAATAAGGAAAATCTTGCAGCAAGTAGAAAAGGGTAACCTTAGTTGCAACTTTGGCCATCTTCTCACTAGCTTCAACAGCAACTACCCTTGAAGCCCCAGCTTTAGCAGCAAAGAGACTGCAGGCAAAGGATAACATGGTTACTGAATGCACACTAAAAAATAAGAAGAACCAAAAGTTTGACTTAAATAACCAAGGAAAAGTCAAGGAAGCCTCCAGAATATGAAACAAAAGAGGCAAATCGAACCACCAGATTAGAAGACTATCTAACAAGTTCAATCAGATGTTTAGTCTTAAAATCTAGATGCAATTGCCGAAAATGAGGGAGAAAATTCCATAACGGAATGAGATGCCACTACAGAGTAAGAACGATAGCTGCTAACTTACCTCAATATCCCAGTTCCACAACCAACATCCATTACAACAGAGCCACTCAAGAGAGTAGGATTCTTCAAAAGTGCATCTCGGTATGCGTCTGTTCTAACCTGTTACAGACATTAGAGAAACTAAATAAATCTGACAGCCTACAGACAGTCATCATATTCTGCAAGTGTAAGTTAGTTGATGTGGACATGATTTCATAAAAGATTAGTGCATTACCTTATCACTAAGCATCTCCTTGTGAATGCCGAACGAACTATAAGATCCAAAATAGTTTTCATTCACCTTTCTGATGTTCCTATTAGATAGCCTTCCATTACCAACCTTTGGTTCTGCATCTTTACCATTGACTATCAAACCATCCGCAGAACTTTGCTTCAGGGCATTGCAGTTTGAGAGCAAAGTTACATCCTTACTTCCATTAATATTGCATTTACCACTGTTCGACATTGAAGTTTCCCCTAAAGCCTCAAGATCAATGCTTAAATCCCCAAGTTTCTGCAAATCCTCCATCACTGCGTCTCTGTCAAACGTGTCTTCTTCATCTTCCTCATCATCTGCAAATGAATACAAAAGTGAATCCTCCTGCGAAAAGGGCTTCAAATACTTTTCTTCATCCCAAGGAAACTTAACATCTTTGAAATCAGCAGCTTCGATCCTCCAACTCCAACATTTGTTCTCAGCCACCTGGTCGTATTAAAAGGAATCAACTTTAGAAAAATAACAAAAAAACTTCGGAAAGCAAAAAACACAAACCTGTGAGCGAATATAGTTGATGAGCTTAAACGAAGAGTAGAAATCGAGCTTCAATTCCTTTCTAACACCACGAAAATCAAACCCGTGGCTCAGACGACAGTGTTCGAAGAGTGAATCGCAGGAGACGTGGTGAGAATCACAAAACAAACAAAGAAAATCAGATTCGGAGTCGTCATCCTCCTCCTCCTCTCCTCCTCCCATTCCTACGCCATTATCGTCTGCTTTCCAATCTCCCCAGTCTCCGTCGTCCGAGAAGTTCTCTTCTTCATCATCACTGTAGTTGAGAATCTCGTCCTTCACCATTGTCGCCGACATGAGAAGTATGAATCAGTACGGCGCCAAGTTCTCAAGAGAGGTTTAAGAAGCAGAGACACCCCGGCGGGGTTGTAAGCAATTGACCTTCTTATCCTTCGTTGGTTAAATCAAAATCTGACTTAAAACCAGAGAGTAAACCGAATCTAACCGAAAATAATTAAGACTTGCTCCCTCAGCTTAGGCCCATAAGCCCATTAGCCACTCAGTCCGAAACGACGTCGTTAGATTGACTATGGAAGCAATCAGAGATAGTCAGATGGTTCCCTTTCTGAAATCGGCTACTGTGTGTTTTTCTCATTTCCTCTCTTAAGGAAGACAAAATTCACGATTCATAGACCAAAATGGCGGCACCTTTCACGTTGAGGAAGATTGGTGTTCCACCGAACTCAGCTAACCTGACGGAAGCTCGCCGCCGTGTTTTCGATTTCTTCAGAGCCGCCTGTAGATCTATCCCCACAATCATGGACATTTACAATCTTCAAGATGTCGTCGCTCCTTCTCAGCTTCGATTTGCAATTTCTGCTCAGATTCGGAATAACTCCCACATCACCGACCCGAAGGTACTTCCCTTAATTTCACTCTGATTAATCATTTTGTCTCCCCTTAATTGGTGCTGCGTCTAGGTAGGACTGGATTGTTACCGCATTGACCTTACAATGAGCTTTTTCTTATTCGTTAGGATGATTGTTTCATTGGTGTTTAAGAGATTGTTTCTGCTTTGTAAAAGAAAAAATACACCTCCAACCGTTTGGAATTTATGGAAATAGTTTATGCCAACGAAGACTTGATTTATGGGTACTGGGTTGTCTAATCTTATGAACAATATAGTGTCTTGTTGATTAAGTGCTGGGTGTTGATTTTCTTGGAGTGAAAAGGTGGGCGCTTTACTGGTTGTATTCTGCTAAAGCTTTGTTACCTTTTGGTTCCTTTGTATCTGGTATTAAACACTTTCTTCTTTGCATTTGTTTTCTTTCATAGGCGAGTCTGTTGTAATCAATAGACTGAACCTGCGACATCATTATATACTTGTAATCAAAATGGACTTCTTTCTTGTAATATGGCAGCGTTGTTGGCTTTTAATACCTAAGTTAATATTTGCTTGTGTGGTGATTTGTTTGTATTTTGACCCATCTATTGAGGGCATCTTCTTGAGTAGTTTGGTTGGCTGTCTTTTAAGCTGCTGTTAGAATGAAAATCTAGTCCTGATTGAGGTGTTCTCCTTCTGCAGGTAATTGATCTTCTATTATTCAAGGGAATGGAAGAGCTGACTGACATTGTGGATCACGCAAAGCAGCGCCACCACATCATAGGTCAATATGTGGTAGGTGAAGGGCTCATACAGAATACTGGAAACAAAGATCAAGGAAGGACTGATTTTCTTAAGAATTTCTACACCAGCAACTACTTTTGAACTGGTGATGTTTACTTTTCAAGTTTCACATAAGCTGTACTTGTTATGCTGCTTCAGTTCATGCTCGAGTTTTGCATAAGCCTTGCCAGTATTGTATTGTCGACTTTTGGAAGAAATCTTCTTCCCGAAAATAATTAGATCTTTTCATTTGTATGACTATTTTCTCTGACTCAGGCTGGTTATACATAATACTAGCCAAACATCTGTAAGATTTATCTGTGACAGTGTTCGCTGGGTAAATCTTTCTATGATTTCAAGATACACAATATGCTCTCTCTTTTCTAACTCTATATAGATTGAATTGGTCTGTTTGAGATCTGATCGTACAATCCAAGTTCCTGAAAGGATCCCATCTTCTGTCATGTTGGTTACTACGACCTTACACTGATGACCTATCTGCTTTCAATATTCAAAGACCTATAAACATTCACTCTCTATAAACTACACAACCTGATGGCTAAAGATTACAACACACACTACACTCTCAAGTCTTTGGGGATCTCAGAAAACCATTTTCAAAATCTGCAGTCTTCTTTTCCAAAATATTGCTTCTGGTAAGAATCTGAGAAGGCCTTGTTTTGTGATCTCTTGGAAGGAGTATCCCTTCCTATTTGAGTCATAAGATTATGTATAGAGCTAGAAGCACCGCTATTCTTGTGTATCACTCTCTTGGCCGGGCAAGCCACAAGGAACTAAGAGCACGTAGTCGAGATGAATAATCGTGTATGGCAAGAAGAGCACGAGCTGACTGACGTGTAGTTAACACTCTAAGCATCTGTTGCAGCGTTTGCAGCCTCAAGTTATCAGCCTGCCACCAAGAAATGCCCTATGAACTCCATAACAGACAGACTCCTATATATAAGATCAATTTCTTTGTAACAACGCAAGCTCGTTATATATCTCAGGATAGTATCCCTCATTTCAAACATACCTGGCGGATGAATCCTTCGAGGGTGCCTAACTGGCCCATTGCCATGGCCATCTGACCCATGTAGCTCGCCACATTATCAGATGAACTGGAGCCAAGAGTACCACTGGATAACGTATCAGCTAGGGTTTGCTGTAAACTCTCCATCCCTTGAGATAGTGCATCTTCCGCCTGCTGAGACGTCTGCTGCAAGCTATTTAAGCCCATTACCTGTCGTTCGGTCATGGGCTCTAGCTGATTCGCAAGAAGCTGTTGTGAAAACATACCGACTCAATTAAGTTGGTCTGACCGTCAAAATTTTCTCTGTGAACGTGTAAAGAGCTTACCTTGAGAAGTTCGGATGAGCGGAACCCGCCAAGCCACAAGAAACACCTCTCAGCTGGTGTTTTCCACATTCCAGATAACAAGTGGAATACATCATTCTTAGCTGCATTGCTCTTAATCCTGAAAAGCTCCTCATAGTGAGCCATCACTCCATCTACAATTGTCCGGAGCTCAGTATCACCTGCATGAGCATTCAGGGCAGATCTCAGCTCATTCATTTGCCTGTTCTTTTCTTCAAGCCACCGTGAATGTTCGGCATCAAATGCCAAAGCCCCTGCAGAAAGAAAAGTACTAGATCAAGAACAAACCCACAATACTTGCATCTTGCAGATTTTAGCCTACACCAACACAAACTATATGAACTTCAGTATTGATACCACCATAACTTTAATTTCCCATCCAGAACTTCACTGACTCTTGAAACCATTAATTCTAATAAGTGTTAGCAACTTAGCATATTGCCATGAGATGCCTTATGCTATAACGATTGGAGTATATATGAACTAACTTACCTATAAATTAGAACCAAAAGTCTCAATCTGAAAAGAGAAAACTAACAGAGAAGAAACAACCCACCATTCCCACCAGTAGAATGAGCTTGATCTCCTGAACTTGAGATGAAAACTCCCTAAAATTAAAAGGAATATATCATTTATGTATACGGAAGAGATAAATACACTTTCATGACAAGGAATCTGATAAGAACCAGAATACTATTCCCTTTATGCCTTCAGAATCCAATGAACAAGCCAGAAGGACATAAGAATTAATTTTACAGAAATACCATCCACCTTTACCCAACAAAACTATCAGTGACCCATAATTCTGTTACTAAAGAGTTACTTAATCAGAATGAAACCAAATAAGAAAGTAAAGTTAAAACCTGCTGTCTTGCTCTTTGCAGCTCTTGCTCAAGTTGAGTAAGCTTTAATCGACTATTCTCCAGCTGCTGAACATACGCCTATGGAGGAAACAATAACATGTTTAAGGTAATGGCAAATAGACATTCTTCTAGCGATGTTGCAAGGATGTAAGAGGAATTTATAAGATTTATCAAAACAAGAACAGATGCAAGATATACCTTCTTCCTCAATCTGCTTTTTCTTGCTGCCTCACGATTTTGAGCAAGCCTACGAAGGGTCTATGTATCAAAATAAAAAGGAAACAAAATAGATTACGAATATGCGCATTACAAACATTCTTGTTCATACATAGAGAAGAATTTATCACCTTTTGATCCAACTTATCCTTTGATCGGTCACTGGAATCAGACGCTGCAGGAAGCATCATTTGCCCTCTCTCAGACTGCAATAAACATCAGAATTACTATGTCATTCAAATTCTGCTAGTTTGGTGAACATAACAAATGATTTGTCCTGTGGATTTGGCTCTACCGGTAGATTGTCCCAAGTTTTACCAATGGAACCCGGTTCAAGCCTCCCACGAGTGACATTTTCGAGAACATACAATAATAAAATGATTAGAGCCAGATTTCGAGCTAACCCCCAGATCTCTATGATCTGTATCGCCATCAGTTGAGACATCAGTCCTTGAACTGGTATCGGCCATATTACTTTATATAGTAATACTTGAAGCAGAGACTATCCACTTGTGCTCCCTTCTAAAGTGGCAATTTCTGTGATTTACTTCTAGTGTAACACTTTACGCTAGAGGGAGCAACGACTGCCAAGAGGAAATGCAGTTGAAGGAAATTAACAGATACCAGCCAGAGAGAATAAACATTAAAACAGAAGAGAGCAACTAAACACCTTACCAAAACAACATATGGAAAAGGAACAACCAGTGAACCATTGACTGTGCTGAATGAGAGAAAACAACCAGTTAAAGTACCATCTCTTTTGCTACCATAATTTTATATAATCCAAAAAAATTCTGTCTCATCCAAATTGAAAAGAATGCAAAACGGTCTTTAGAACATAAAAAAAATATTATGCTAACAAAGATATAAATAACAGGCGAAGAAGCTTTAAAGGGTATTTTCTAAATAGACGATCAAGAGCTTTTTTTTAATAAGGTTCAAAGCTTAGCATCTACAAGAAACTCTTTTGCAACGAAAAATCAATGCTCTTCGAGTCAAAGCAAGTAAAGGTAACTGAAAGATATAAATGAATCTTAAAGCAGGATACTGGAAGAGAAAAAAGAACCCTTGATGATCACAAAATTACTAATAACAGAGGATCTAGGCTTGGCGTCTAACAAGAAGCTCTTTTGCAACAAAAAAATCAATGCTCTAAATCCTAACCCACAACCACCTAGATGCCAAAGACGAGGAAGAAAGCTAGCAAGCCAAAACTGAAAGATCACTTGAAAGGAGAATATTACGATATGTATGTCTCAGGGATATAAAGGAATTTTAAGTAAAGGGATACAATTTTGTAACAAACTTAATATACCGCTAGACGACTTTTGTACTAACTAGCGATAAAACACTATCCCTGCATAAGACTAAGTTCAAAGCGAATACCAAAGTAACTAACTGAGGCACCGTGAAGAAAGCAAACCCAATATAACTCTATCCAACCAAACAAGTAGTTCCTAAAAGTCCAAAATCACTCAAATATTGGTGAATTACGTTCAGAAATTCCTCTTAGCCAACAGATCGAAGTCAACATTAGTGTAATTCATGTAACTGCAGGGACAACAAGCTGCCTCAGTTTGGAATTGTGGCACACTCACAGGAATCAAGTGGCTTAAGTCACACTGCAGTAGCTTAACTGACTGAGAGTCGGAACAGAGACAACGGTTCAAGTATTAACATCGACTGAAACAAGTACAGCGGATTCAAAATCATACAAAAGCGAGAGCTAAGCTTGTAGCAGCTCATCACTCGAATCATACAGAGGATTCAAAATCCAAGAAATTATCTTATCAGAGCTCAACAGGCATACTAACATTTGAAATCCAAGATTTTTTCACAGAGAATTGGATGGATTTTGGTTGCTGAAAACGTCATCAAGTGCACAAACAAAAAGTTTGAAACTTTTCGAGCTTCTGAAAGTCAACTAGGTCTTAATTTCCAAGGCAAACACACAAAGTGGAGGAAAAAAAAAAGTAAGCTTTCCAATCACTAAAGTAAAACAAAGAACGAGGAAACTTCAGACAAAGAAAAAAGAAACAAACATACACCAAAAGATAAAAGAGTTGAGAAAGCGAGAAGCTCACCTGAGAAATGAAATCTTCTGTCTGAGTAAAAGGTTGTCCGAAATCGGATTGAAGGAAGAAGCAGAGACACGATCCGTAGTTTCAATCACGAGACGTCGTTTTGTCTTTGTACAAACCCACCATCCCCAAAAGAACATCGATAAATTTAATACGGGAAATTGCAAACGTAACCCCCATACTATTCTTATTACCACCAACGAACCTCCATATTCTTCGTCATACTATTTTTTTCTTCGGTTGCTTTAGATAATTTATACAATTTGTCATTATTGAACCGGTTTATATGGTTGGTCTGTCCGGTTTTCTAGGCAATGCTAAAAGAAATTTCACCGGTTTCCTCCCATGTGCATTGCAGTAATCTCACGTGCCCAAAACCGAACGGTTAACTTGGTTTAACCAATACTCTCAACCGAAAAGGTTCTATTTTTGTAAGGGTCAACGGCTCAACGCCTCTGCTTTTGAGTATAAATATATGTCTGTTTTGTCAATAAATAAAGACTCAGAAAATAATGGCTTCCTTGATATTCAAGTTGCTGTTTTTGCAGCTTGTGCTTGTCTTGATTCAACATGCTTATTCTGGTTCTATCATCAGATCTCTTCCTGGTTTTGAAGGCCCTCTTCCCTTCGAGCTCGAAACCGGGTTCTGTTCCTCTGCATATTCTTCCCCATATCAGCCTAATAACGTTGACTGATCTGTATTCTGAGTTTTGGAGTTAAATGATTTAGGTACATTGGTGTTGGAGAAGCAGAGGAAGATCAAATGTTCTATTACTTCGTAAAGTCTGAGAGTAATCCTATAGAAGACCCTCTTCTTGTCTGGTTAACTGGAGGACCTGGCTGCTCTTCTTTCTCTGGTCTTGTTTATGAGAATGGTAACAAAATATTCTCTTAACTCTTTCTCATTTGTCTCCGCAGACTATTCATTCATTTCTGTGAAAATAAATATAAAAAAACACACACACACAAACAGGTCCTCTTGCTTTCAAAGTTGAGACTTACAATGGAAGTGTTCCCACGTTGGTTTCTACTACATATTCATGGACTAAGGTAAACACAAGTTGTGTTCCTGGTTACAAAGCCAAGTAATGAAACTCTTCTTCATCTTCAAGTTGTTGACTTATCTTTGATTCTTATCAGGTTGCTAATATAATCTATTTAGATCAGCCTGTTGGGACTGGATTCTCCTACTCAAGAAATCCACTAGCTGATATACCAAGTGACACAGGATCAGCTAAACGGGTCAACGAGTTTCTTCGTAATGTAAATTGATAACTCAAAGCATCTGCATTGACTTTTGCAGAATTTTTTATTTTTCACTGTTTGTGGTGATTTGTTGTGCAGTGGCTAGCTAAGCATCCTGAGTATTTCTCCAATCCTTTCTATGTCGCCGGGAATTCTTATTCCGGTAAGGTTATTCCGGCCATCGTCCAAGAAATCTCAAATGGTAAGTTCTTTATCACTTCAATCCCAGTGCAACCCCTTCTTTGACTCTAGTTTCTTGATCATTTTATTTTACCAATTTACCACAGGAAATTATATATGCTGCAAACCTCAAATAAATCTTCAGGTTCATTATTAATATGCTTTCTTCTTACATTTATGAACCAATATACCTTATGGAGCATTAAGAATTGAAAGGCTTTTTGTTTTCTCCACCAACAACAACAGGGCTATGTGATCGGAAACCCGGTAACATACTATGATCATGATAAAGACTCTCGCATTCCATTTGCTCATGGAATGGGGCTCATCTCTGATGAACTCTTCGAGGTACCATTACAGAAGCTAGGATATGTTTTTGTCTCTTGTCACCACAACAAAAAAGTTAACTAACCAGTTGTTCAAATCTCATACTTTGTTATAGTCTTTGAAGAGAAGCTGTGGAGGAAACTATAATACTGTTGATCCTCTTAACACAGAATGCTTGAAACTGGTTGAAGATTATCACAAGGTACACAATCTGCAATTTAGTCGAGGCTAATGGTAAAAAGATAAAAATAACTAACTTAGAACGTGTGGTTATCTACAGTGTGTTTCTGGAATATATGAAGAACTTGTTATAGCACCAAAATGTGAAACTACATCTCCTGATTGTTATGTAAGCAATCCAACTTGTATTTCTGTTTATATTTGGATCAATGACAAACCATTTGACAAAAGGTTGCTTGTGCAGACGTATAGGTATTTGCTATCCAATTACTGGGCTAATAACAAGAGTGTCCGCAGAGCACTCAAAGTTGTGAAGGTATATATATATATATGAGAAGTTTATTATGTAAATCATTGGTAATGTCTACAAATCTTAAGAGGATTTTGATGTCAGGGGAGTAAAGGGAAATGGGAACGATGTGACTATGCCGTGCATTGCAAAAAAGACATAATAAGTAGCATACCATACCATATGAATAACAGCATCAAAGGTTATCGATCTCTCGTCATTAGGTACACAAATTTAACTACTACTTTAATAGGCTTGTACTTTCATTAGTTAGTTTGTAAGCTTTTTTGCTGGCATGGTTATTCATAGCGGTGATCACGATATGACAATCCCGTTCGTTGGAACTCAAGCATGGATAAGCTCTCTCAACTATTCCGTTATTGACAAATGGAGGCCATGGATGGTACTCGATCAAGTCGCCGGGTATATTTATATATACATACCATTTCTTCTTCTTTCTCTCATTTCTGTTGTTTTCATTTGGGTAAGCTGCTCATCCTAACATAATCAACCTTTTGTTATTTGCAGATACACCAAGACTTATGCTAATAAGATGACATTTGCCACTGTGAAAGCAAGTTCTCTTTTATCTACTTTTTTCTGTTGACGTAAATGAAAAGCTTTTTGACACCAAATTTTTATAATTGGTTTGTTTGGTTTGGTTTGGTTTATAATATAGGGAGGCGGGCACACGTTAGAGTATAAACCAGAGGAGTGTTCAATCATGTTCAAGAGGTGGATAAGTGGCCAACCTCTCTAAACACACAAACCTCAATCTTGGAATGCATCTTACATTAATTAATGTTGAAGCGGAAAGTGTTTGGTTTGATGATTCATCTGAAATAAATGTTACATGTTTACACTATCTATATATTAGAAGACAACATGTAGACCAAATTTTTAAGTTATGCCAACGTGACCTTTTGAATGAAGAATGCAACCTTTTGTTTCTACTTCTACCTGCTGCTAAAGTAGCTCACATGCACTTAAAAATCATACACATTTGCTAATTAACCTTAACAATAGTTTAAAGAAGTTGCAAAACTGTTTTGTCTCTATGACCGGTTTCTACCATGTGCGAACTGCAAACGCACTTTACGCGCGACTTTGTCCCGCCCACGTGCATTATCACGTGTGCTCAATTTAAAAACCTAGTTTTTCTATTCTTTAACCTGTTGCAGACGGAACATAAACAAAGACTAAAGATGTTTGTAAATTGTTTAGGTCAACGTCTCTGTTTTTTCGAGTGTAAAGATGTCTTGTCATAAAACAGAACTCAGAAACTAAAGAAGAAGAAAAAGAATGGGTTCCTGCTGGATACCCATGTTGCTGCTGCTTCTGCAACTAGGGCTTCTGTTGACAAAGCATGCTGATTCAAGTTCTATCATCAGATATCTTCCTGGTTATGATGGCCCTCTTCCCTTCGAGCTCGAAACTGGGTCTGTTTCTCCTCATACTAATTAGCCTTATACTTAATGTATGACTCTCTGTGTTCTATAATTTTTGGAGTTAAACATTCAGGTACATTGGTGTTGGTGAGGAAGAGGAAGAGCAAATGTTCTACTACTTCATTAAATCTGAGAGCAATCCCGAAAAGGACCCTCTTCTTCTCTGGTTAAGTGGAGGACCTGGTTGCTCTTCTTTCACTGGTCTTATTTATGAGAATGGTAATTGAATCTTCTTTAGCTCATTCTTATCTGTCTCTGCAGAATTATTCAGTGACTTTGTTTGAATTGAAAAAAAAAAACAGGTCCCCTTGGTTTCAAGGTTGAGGCGTACAATGGAAGTATCCCCACGTTGGTCTCTACTACATATTCATGGACAAAGGTTAGACACCAGTTGAATTCATGATTACAAACTCAATGAAATATATGTCATCTTCAAGTTGTGGACCGATCTTTGCTTTTTTTTTTTCAGGCTGCGAATATAATCTATTTGGATCAGCCTGTTGGGACTGGTTTCTCCTACTCAACAAATCCATTAGCTGATATACCAAGTGACACAAGATCAGCTAAGAGGGTCGATGAGTTTCTTCGTAAAGTAATGGGAAATCTCAGATATTCATTCACTAAATGCATTTGTCATTATTCTTTATACATGTTAGACTTTCTTTTGCAGTGGCTAGCCAAGCATCCTGAGTATTTCTCCAATCCTTTCTATGCCGGAGGGAATTCTTATTCTGGTAAGATGATTCCTGTCATCGTTCAAGAAATCTCAAATGGTAATTAGTTCTTTTCATTTCAGTCCTTACTCAAGCCCTTTTCTTTGACTCCAGTTTCTTGATCAGTTAGTTCATCAATTTATCACAGGAAATTGTATATGCTGCAAACCTCCAATAAGGCTTCAGGTTAATTAGTATTTTCCATTATTTCTATATACCTTCTTATGGATCATTTTAAGAATGAAAATTTGGTTTTTGTTTGACTCTCCAACAACAGGGCTATGTGATCGGAAGCCCAGTAACAGACTATGATCTTGATAGAAACTCTCGCATTCAATTTGCTCATAGAATGACACTCATCTCTGATGAACTATATGAGGTACAGTCACATAATCTAGGATGCTTTCTTCTTTTGTCACAACAATGAAGTAGTTATTAGCAAACTCTTACTTTGTAGTCGTTGAAGAGAAGCTGTGGAGGAAACTACATTATTGTAGATCCTCTTAACACAGAATGCTTGGAACTCATTAAAGACTATGACAAGGTACACGATCTGGAATTTTAGTTGGCACAAATGGTAAATAAATATAGTCACTAACTTAGAGAATTTGTGGTTGTTTACAGTGTGTTTCTGGAATATATGAAAACCTTATTCTAGCACCAAAATGTGATCTTACATCTCCTGATTGCCATGTAAGCTTTTTTGGTATCTTTGAACTACCCACTAAACTAACCACTAGTTAGGGAAGAATATTGACAAAGTTCTTTTGGCAGTCGTATCGTTCTATGCTATCTGAATACTGGGCCAATAACGAGACCGTACGCAGAGCACTGAAAGTTGTGGAGGTATATGACTAGCTTATCATCATAAAGTCATTGAAAAAATTATGATGGTCAAACTCTATGAGGATTTTTTTTGTGTGCAGGGTACTACAGGTAAATGGGAACGATGTAAATGGAGTTTACAAAACAATAAAGACATTAAAAGCAGCATACCGTACCATAAGCAGAACAGCATTGAAGGCTACCGATCACTCATCTTCAGGTCAGTACACAAAATTAAATTCTTCTTTACAAGCTTGTGCTTTCATTAGTTGTCTGTAAGCTTTATCTGGCATGGTGTGTCTGGTGGATAGTGGAGATCACGACATGCTAACACCTTACGTTGGAACTCAAGACTGGATTAGATCTCTCAACTATTCCATTATTGAAAAATGGAGGCCATGGATGATACTTGATCAAGTCGCTGGGTATGTATACCATTTCATTTTTGTTAGTTTTTCTTTCTTCATTTGTATAAGCTGCTCGTCCAACCTTTTTTAATTGCAGATACACTACGACGTATGCTAACAAGATGACATTTGCAACTGTGAAAGTAACTCCTATGTTCACATTTTTGTTGACATAAATGCAAAGCTGTTTTATCACATTCCTAAATCGGTTTGTTGGTTTGGTTTTATAGGGAGGCGGGCACACGTTAGACTATAAACCAGAGGAGAATTCAATCCTGTTCAAGAGGTGGATAAGTGGCCAACCTCTTTAAAAATACAAACCTTAGTCTTTGGAATGATCTTAGCTTGTTAATGTTGAAACCGAAAGTGTTTGGTACAATACTGTTTACGTTTTTCGGATTCTGTTGCTTGGTACAATGATGATAGCCTGCCTCGACCATTCTCAGCCTTTGGTTTTGTGAATGTATTGTTTCCAAGACTAATCAGTTCTTTAGAGCAAGTCCAGTTTTTTTTTCTTCTTACACACATGCATATATTAGACACAACATCCTTCCAACCTCTGTAATAGTCTCCTAGCAGCTCTACCCTAAAAACAAAACAAATTATGTAATATTGTGACTTTAGATCGACCACAACACATATCTTCTCCTCTGTTCTAAAATCCATCCCCTATAGCTGAAAATCTTTGCAACATATTGATATCGTGGTTTGTATAGCATTTATCTTTGTGAATTGTGATTGAGGCCAAATAAAGGGTAAAGTTATATGATTTCTCAAAACACTCCCTCAGAATTTTCATAAACATCCATGATTCTGTCTTGATGATTATGAAAGAAGAGATAAATCTACACAAATTCTACAAAAGTTCATTTTGGTCTCCTAACGTTTTCTTTTCTTCCCCGAAGAGCTCTTCTCTGGTTGTGACTTTGCACCCACAGTACAGCTCCATAGAGCTCTTTCAATATCTGAAGGCCCATCCCACTCTCCCTTCAACTTTAATTCCTACACAAATCCATCCAATAATCTGATTTAAGGCAACACAAATAGTCCACACTGAAATCTATTACCTCTTCACATTTCCAAATATGTTAAAAAGACTTCAAAGCTCAGATGTTTTCTACCACAGTATCCGAGTGAAAGTAAAAGAGCAAGCAAGAAATCAACTTTCAAGTGTCATCTTAGTATGGACAGAACTTAGAACACATGATAAGAACACTTGTCTAGAGAGACTAACTAACTAACGAACCTTTGATTTATCATCTAGTTTAGTTACAAACAGCAAGTATTGCTTCAAAGAGTAATCCTTTGAGCTACCAAGAGCCACCTCCATTGCCTATCCTTCCACATTAGAGATCACCCAAATTCAAAAACAGAGCAAAAGTGAAAAATCCAAAGATTCTATCTTTCTCAGATTGAAAGAGAGATGTACCTCGTCGGACATAAAGGGTGCAATGTCAGGGGCGTAAGCAGCAAGAACAGCGGAGGCGGTGGCCGGACCAACGCCCTTAAGAACGGTGAGCTCTTTCACAGCCTTGGAGATGTCAGGGAGAGATTTGAAAGCTTTCTCAGAAGCAGATTTCACCACTGAATCGTCCAGAGACGACACGAAATCCAGCAGACGCGGCCTTGGAAGGAAGGAAAGAAGATTAATTAATTAGGTACCATCAAAAGGGTAAAACTCAATCTCATAAGAGAAGAGAAATCACTCATAAAAAAGAGAAAAGAAAAGTACCGCCATTTGCCGCGAGTGAGCTTCCATTTCATGAGTTGACAAAGCTCAGAGGTGGTGAGGTAAGGGTTAGGGTCTCTGTCGTGAAGAAGACAAGGGAGTTTGATGCGGTAGAATTGGTCGAGAGAGACGAGGTCTGGCTTGTTCAGTGACTCGATTCGGGACTCGTACGAAGACAGAGCCTCTTTCCAAATTCCGACATCGGAACACTTGAAGTCTAGTACTTCCATCGCGGCAAATATTATTTTTGAGTTATGAACCCTAATTTACCAACTCCATCCTCGAGACTACATTATAAAAAATAAAATAAAAAGCTCTTTTTTACAACGACAAAGACACGTGGATTAAACAAAAGCGCGGATTTTTATGCTTTCGAGACAAGATGATCATTAAATTTGCTCCTTCCATAGGATTTTTAGAAGATGGATTTTGGTAGAGACGAACAATGTGTATATTGATTTTTTTTTTTTTTATTGTTTTTTAGATACTTTTGTCTGACTTTCGATTAGAGAGGTACAGTATGTGCAAACCACAAAGCACTAGACTTTTATCAATTAGTCTGCTCAGTCACTAAAATGACTTTTTAATTTGCCTCTGTTAATGTTTGACTTTCTGGCGCCAACTTAACAGGCACCAAACGAAACAAAATACTGTATGAGATTTGGCTTTTATATATATATAAAGATATAATCTTGTGGTAAATGCAAAAGCAAATCGAAAGCTCATGTTTAAGAGGATGGGAAATGCCTTAGAAGAAAACCATTAGGAGTATAGTGTGTGCCATATCATAAGAATACTAGCATATCATCAAAGGGTATTGTCGATCTCTCATCTTCTCAGGTCAGCATGAGCACAGTTTTTTACCTTTGTCTGCTTCTCTAGTACTATTCATCTTTCTTTCTATTAAGCTTCAAATTATTTATAGACAGTTTGCATTTTTGGTGATCACGACATGTTACGTTGGTACTTAGAACCTTTCATTGCAACTTAAGCATGGATCAGATCTCTCAACTCTTCCATTGTTGATGATTGGAGGCCATGGATGATTCACAAATCACAACAACGACATTTCCATGGTTCTATCATGAGATTTTTGACTTTCCTCTTTCATTCTTTCCTTTTTATTGGCAGATACCAAGGATGTATGCGATTAAGATATGACATTTGCCACTTTAATTGACATAAGCACAACACAACATATATATGGTCAAGACTTTTTCTTCTTCTTCTAAACTCCTTCCCTAGAACTGACAACATTTCCAAAATCTTTGATATGGATGTACAATGCACAGCTTTTAATTGAGCCCAAAGAAAGAAACAACTTAAATGATTACCCAAGTTCTGAATTATCGACCCTTGCGGTTGATCTTGTAATGAATATTCAGGGAATTAAAGGCTATCACACGATTCACCCCCAAGTAATAAATCCGTTTGTGTTAATATTTCAAATATTTTTTTCAGAAATTCTTTTTAAATATATATAAACGTAAAAAGAATTTTTGAAATTCCCCTTTTTATTTTAAAAGCATCTATATATACAAATTGAAAAAAAAACCACTAAAATACTACAAAAAATAATTTTTAAAATAGAACAATTATGGTAAATGTTCTTATTATACTCCATATTTGAGAAAATGATTCTGACCCTAAGTAAATAACTTTAAATTGATTACCATCCGACTTTCAATTTAGTAAGATTTTCAGGCGAAATTACATAATTTCACTTATTCCATCAATAAATAGCATGATATATAACTATTATATATAAAAACACAATATCATATACATTATTTATAATATATACCATTTTTCTCCAAATAACACATCAAATATCATGTTGATTCATAAAACCAAATAATTTGGCAAAAATTGTGTAGACAAATAAATATACATAAATCAAAAGTAAAAGCTATATATGCTCCTATATTACCCTTTAGTTGCCATCATTTATCATAGTCATGTTCAAACATTTAAACAACATTATCCTCTCTTAAAAGAACATAACCTGACGGCGAAATTGTAAAAATAAATTAAGGCCAGTACTGTGTTCTTAAACAATTCTTTTTTCTTTTTTCTTGTGAGCGTTTTCAACTTTTCTGCCTTTTTGAATTCCATTGCCGACACTACCCACAAAGAAAATAAAAAGAGAAGCTGATGCGTTAGAAAATAAATACTTTGCCAACAAATAATATTTTTTTCTTTCTAAAACATTAAAAAAAAAAAAAGTATAATACCATTGGAAAAAAAAAAGAGAGTAAATTCTATGCCGAGAAAAACATGACATTTTAGAGTATTTTGATAGGTGGGCGATTTCAACATCCTTCTCCTCCGTCCTCGGTTTCACCATTGATTGATTTTGTTACTAACTACAAGAGCTGGTAGCTTCCGTTCGACTTTATTGTCTTCTCTTTCCGAATACCCCCAAGATCTTTTCTTTTTTTCGAGCTATATATTGATTGGCTTTGTCCTTCCTTCTAGCTGGTCTTCAAGCTGGGTTTTGTTTCTTCGGGAGGGGGATTTCATGCAAAATGGAGGCTAAGGAATGTGAACAGGAACATAAGTTCACTCTCGACAACTACCATGTCGTGGAGCAGGTTCGGAGAGGCAAGTCTGCTTCCGATTTCGTGGTTCTTCATCACATTGAAGACAAAAAGTAAGATTCTTTACCTGGGTCGATTTCTAGTCCTTTTCGTTTTCATTTCACATTTCAAGTTTGTACTTTTATAAATTAGGGCTGGGCAGACAGTGGTCGATGTTTTAATTCGACTTGTAATGATCAAAGGATTTTTAAGGAGACGACGGTTTATGTGATTCAGTAGGGACAAACAAAAACCCTTGCAAAGGTTTTGGTTTTTTTTTTTGGGTCTAAAAGTGAGTTTGGTTGTGTAAATTGCTTTCTACCTGAAAAATCTTTAAAAATCAAAATCTGAGTTTTTTTTTTCTTCTTTTGTTTGTATTCTGTTTGATCAAAAGATTTGTGTGGTTTGTTGGTCTTAGCTATCTTTCATGTCTTAACGTTTCTTGTATCGATTAGGTACGCATTGAAGAAGATTTGCCTTGCTAAACACACGGACAAGTTAAAGCAAACCGCTTGCCAAGAGGTAAACTAACTATCTGACTTTTTTTAGTTGATCTTTCAATCATCAATGATCTTTAAATTGGGAAGACAACTAATGGCACACGAGGTGATATTTATATGCCTAGTTTCCGTATGGATTCTCAGAGTCATGTGTTTCTACGGATATGGTATTCATCTTTTTCTAATATTCGCTTCTCGCATTATCCGAGCAATGTGTCAAACTGATAACTTCATATTACCAGAGCTCTAAATTTGGAATGGTGTGGAAACACACTTCACTTTATTGCATTTATGGTTCTTGGGTTTGTTCAACCACCCAATTGATTCCCTTGGCGTTTAACTTTCCAATTCGTATATGTTTTTCCCTTCTCATGTAAGTCATCATCTTCTTCTATGTGTTGCAGATGAAATTGCTCTCAAATCTAAAGAATCCTTATATCGTGCAGTATGAAGATTCTTGGATTGACAAGGTATAGAAGCTGGACATCAATGTTCATTTATGAAAAAATTATAATGATTTTCATCAGTTTTCACAGATTCTTTTTTCTTTTCACAGGACAATAACGCCTGCATTTTTACTGCTTACTGCGAGGGAGGGAACATGTGAGTTATTCCTTGTGATCTGTATTTATGATTTATAATCTTTCTCTATGACGCTCAGCCTAAAGCCAAATCCGTGCTGTGGATTACTGAATCAGAGACAACTGTTTTTTTTTTCCAAATCAGGGCTAATGCTATTAAGAAAGCGAGAGGAAAGTTATTTCCAGAGGAAGTAATCTCTATATTCCAGTCTATTCTTTTTTTTTTTGCACTCGTTTTCTCAACGATGTGCGATTACTGTCTTGCCGACTCATGACAAATTTGCATGCGATCTACAGAGAATCTTTAAATGGTTGGCGCAATTGTTACTGGCTGTTAACTATTTGCACTCTAACCGTGTAGTTCACATGGATCTAACGGTATATTTAAATCATACTTCATTACTTTTGCTGGTGTATGATTCCTTTCTGTATTATTTCGTGAAGAATGACTCTTTAATTATCGATTATCTTTGCAGTGCTCAAATATCTTCCTTCCAAGAGATAATCACGTCCAGCTTGGTATGATAAATGAGAAGACTGAATTTACTCTTCGTTCAAAACTATATATTTGACATTTTATGCTCTAGTTAGCTTTAATTTATACTCATGGCACAGGTAATTATGGTCTAGCGAAACTTATAAATCCAGAAAAGCCAGTTTCCATGGTGTGTTATCTACACCTTTTTGTTTTCTATTTATAGCATCTCTCTGCACCCATTTGTACATTTAGTATTATACTTCTTTTAGAATATCTCATCCACAGTACATTTTTATAGGTTTCGGGTATTTCTAACAGCATGTGCCCTGAAGTATTAGAAGATGAACCTTATGGATACAAATCTGACATATGGTCGCTGGGTAAGTTAAGTTCCAATATGTAGACTTCTTTTAAGTCATTAAAAGGAAAACTCACATTATGCTGCTTTGTTTAGGTTGTTGTATGTATGAAATTACAGCACACCAGCCTGCTTTTAAAGCTCCGGTGGGCCTATCTTAAGCTTTCTTATCTCTTATTTTTTTGTGATTCAATGTTTTCATGACTTTTTGAAACTAAATTGTGAGAAAAATATACAGGATATGGCTGCACTTATCAACAAAATAAACAGATCCCTTATGTCTCCTCTTCCGATTGTCTACTCCTCTACCTTGTAAGTTTCTAAGAAACATGATTCACTTCAATCCAATGCAAACACCATGAAACGAGTTACAACTATTTCATATTATAGGAAACAAATGATTAAGCTTATGCTTCGGAAGAAACCAGAGTTTCGGCCAACAGTAAGTTTATGCACATATATCATTGTTGAGTGTGTGCAATATTGACCACTTGGATAATATTATGTAATAATCATCCTGCAGGCCTGTGAATTGTTAAGGAACCCATGTCTACAACCGTACCTTCTTCAGTGCCAAAACCTGTCGCCTATTTATCTTCCTGTTTTCCCGATAAACTCAGTAAGCCCAAAGGATAAAACAAGAAGAAATTCATTGCCAGGAAAGTTTGGGAAGGAAAGAGATTCGAGAGAGAAGAGCGAGGTATCTCGCAGTTTGGAAAATCTATATCCGTTCTGGACGAATGCAGAGACTGGATCTAGCAGCTCATCGCAACCAGCATCATCCACAAATGGTGCAGAAGATAAACTTGAAACAAAAAGAATCGATCCAAGCTGCGACACATTGAAAATTTCTGAGTCTATTAGCCATAAATCGGATGAGGGATTAGTCGATACTGAGATTGCAATTTACTCTACAGAAAAGCAAACCGAAGAAATTGCTCTGCCAAAAGAAACTGAAAATATGCTTTCTGAGGACTCTCAGGTAAGTGATGTTGATGTTGGGGTTGTGAGTGCACCAGAAGTAATCTGTTCCCCTCCAAGAGCCATCAAAGAAGCTGAAACACAGGAGGCAGTACCTGAACCAAAGAAACAGCAAACAGTGTCCATTTCTAGCATTGGGCATTCATCTACTGAAGTTGCAGCAACAAAAGACTGTTTGTCTGGAAGTCTTGACTCACTTGAGGGCAATGAAGCAAAGATGGTGAAACTAACAGCGAGTGAAATGTCATCTGTACTAAGTAAGCTCACAAAGTTGGGTCCGCCTCAGAGTAAAGAAAGGGCAGATGCATTAGAGTGTTTATTGGAGAAATGTGCAGGGCTTGTAAAGCAAGAGAAATATGAAGAACTTGCTGGTTTGCTTACACCATTTGGGGAAGATGGCGTCTCGGCTAGGGACACTGCAATATGGTTCGCAAAGACACTCTTGTCTTCTGACAAACTCAACGAAGCAACCTGATTGAGTTTGAGAAATATTCCGTTTTTGTTATTTGTCAAATATGTATAAAAGCCTTTTTTTCATCAGTTTTCAATCTAGTTTGTGAACAACCAGTTTATATGTTGTCCCATGTAATATTTTACTCGGAACTAAGTTCAATATTTGAATGTGAGCTAGTTTTCTCATACTATTACATATTTGCTCTCTTTAAGCTACTTTCATCTCCACTGGTATCTCTGTTTATCCTTGCCTTCACGTTCCTGCATTCACCAGAGTCTCTTCTCAATCAAATCAACCTCTTTCTGTTTCTCCTCTAGTGCTCTGTCCAAGTGCTGCAGCTTCCTTTCTGCTTCCTTGTTACGTCTGCGCCACACATTCAGTTTGCTCTTTTCCAAATTAGTCTTTCTTTTTGCCCACTCCAGTTCCACATAACGCTTTTTCGATTGCATATTCGCCCACTGAAGCTCTCCTTCTCTCTGTGCAAGATCTCTGGTACAATCTTTTAGTTTCTTCTCAGCCAACTTGCTTTTCTTCAAGACCTCCTCGTACTTCTTCTGTAGAACCTGTAGCTCCTCCGACGTCTCCTTGTAGCTCTTGTTTTCTTTGAAAGGTCCAACCTCCCGGTTCATCTCATGATTCTGCACCGCTTTTACTTGCTCTCTTGTCCACTTTAGTTCAAGCTTACGACCTCGGTTCAATTTCTGAAGCAGAAAACGTTTCTTTTCCTCAGATTCGATCTCTATCTTTAGCCTGTCCAGTTTCTTCTGATTTTCTTCAACATGTCTTGTGAACTCTGCAGCTGATTCCATCTCTCGAGCCCTTTTCTCCAGAATTTTTCCCTTTGACTTTAACACATGTGACCACTTCTCCAGCTGTTCCTCCTTTGAGTCTATCTCTTGTGACCTCTTCACAAGATCCGATTCAATTGACTGAAAATGAGATTCAAGATCTTCCCATAATAGCGTGAAGGACAATATATTAGAGGCTTGAGACTTGGCCTTCACCAATGACTTACGAAGACGCTCTTTCTTCAACTTGGCGACTCTTAACTTATTATTTTGTTCCATTTTCACACACTTTCTTCAACGCCAAGCTTTCCACTTCAAGTAATAAACAGAGAATAAGACATAAGGAACCCCAAAAAAAAAAACAAAAAAACAAAGAGACAACATGACAAATCGGTCACACTGACGTACGCAAAAGTGGCAAGCTATCTAAGAACGCGAAATAAGAGGTTGATTTGAATACAGAATAGACCAGAAAATGGAATAACACATTAAGACACGATACCGAACATAGATCATCGACAGAGAAGATAGCCATAGAGAAGAGAAAGGCAGAAAGAAACCTTGGGACTTGGGAGTGCGAGCTCTCTTTCTCTCTCTGCTCGATCCTTTGTAGCTACTGAACAATGAGTGAGGGTACAAACTTACGAATGCATCACTCTCCCCTTGAAACCCTATTTATAGGCCCAAACCTTCTTCTTCTTTTTTTCTATGAACATTAATTACTTACTTTATAATCAGTAATCCATTTTTCTGGCTTTGAATTAATTCAACTTTTTTTTTATAGTAGGTTGAATTAATTCAACTTTTTTTTTATAGTAGGTATGTAAATGTAACTCAACTTACCCGCGCGTTATATTATTAATAATTTCCTTTAAATGTTATACGACTATAGTAGAAAACTTTATTGTACATATTTCAAAGTTATTGTAAAATTAATAACATACAAAAAATTACACTGATATAATTCTAAAGTTCCATCTATTAAGTGACTGAATAATAAATAATTACCATATATAATATAATAGCTTTTTGTTAGTGCATTAATCATGTTTACTAATTTCTATTGAGGCATTCACAAAATCTCAAGTCCAAGTGAGGCATATGCAGCATTATATTTCTAGTTTTGACAAGGTAAGTGAATAGTGCCTCTTTGGTGGATTAATTGGCCTAATCGTTGTGAGTTTTAAGGAAAGATGCACCTACACCCCCATGACCAAATATGGGAAAGCTAAGGTAGTCTCCCTTGTATCTTGACATGATCTTTTGGGTTCGATGACCTTGACGTACCTAGTAGTCCCCTGGTCGATGTAGTAATAGGCAGGCTAATAGCCTTATTCCCGACCATTTCTCCAATCTTCATTCTTGATACATTATATTTTATAAATTCAATTATGAGACTGAACATTATTTTGTGCAAAAAAACTGGCGAGCCCCATGTCAAAGGAATTTGTGACGAATTTTCGGTAATTGTACATTATATAAAGCTACATCATGAGTCCCTAGTTGGCTAACCCTAAGCACGGATCAGAATTTTCTTAAACACACTCAGAAAACAAATGGGGGGGGGGGGGGGGGTGGTAAACGCAGAGCGCATAAATCAAAACAAATGAAGTAGATCATCGTCCTCCGTGAAGCTATAGACTGCCGAGAGAGTAAGCCTGCAAAGAAACAAATAATGGACTCAGTTAGTAACTTCACAGTAGAAGAACCAAACCGAGGGAAGATTTAAATAGGAGAGCTAAAGTTGTAGTATTTTTACCTAAAGACAACCATGATGAAGAGAAAGATGTAGAACCCCAGCTTGGTAAACCGGAACTTCTTTTCAAAGCTAATACCACGGAACACTTCAGTGACATCGATGAGGTAACGTCGCTCTTTGTATCTGAAAGAATGGGAGGCGGTTTAGATTAGTTACCACGCATGTAAAATCAAAGAAAGAATCAACAGCAATATGGAAAGAGAGACACTCACAACATAGCGTGATAGAGTGCTACAGGGAGAGCGACGAGAAAAAAGACCCAATGCCAAGTGAAGAGGAAGACAAGGCAGAGTGACCCTTGGAGGATAAACTCAGGTATTACCAATCGGTTGATACGAGTACTTGTTTCAAAAGGGTTCAAGTAATCCGCTTCTAAATCCGTTAAACAAATAACCTACACACACAAAACAAAACAAAACAAACCACACAATATCAATAATAAAAATGGAAACTGAGCCTTAAAAAGGGATCTCAACTCTTACTTCATTATCATAGGCACACTATTTGGTAGTAGCAGTAAGTATCTAATCTCTCATTCAATCACATCTTCTCAGCTGTCGCCGCAATCACAACTCGCAATAAATCAACAGCTTTACACTAAATCTGTTTCAATTGACGAAAGTATCATCTCACATACTACACTAGTCTTACAGACAATCCAAACCAGAACTAAGAACAACTTTTGAGTTAGAAGCAAAAGAATGAACAATGAATTGCGGGAGGATTTAGCACAAAATCAAAAATTGTTCCATTCCTAAATTTGTTTGTTTCCTTAAAAAGTTGTGCATCATCGGGTTTTAACTATGTCCGACAAAAAGCTAAGCTGCTTGCAGAACTAGAATTCCGACAGTAAGGATTTGAACAGTACAAACGCTGAGGACAGATCTCGAATTATACAGAAATTAATTGAAAGCAAAGGGGACAAACAAAGTAGATAGATAGAGAGAGGTACCTGATAGAAGACAGAAGCGACGAGAGCCAAGCTGACGAAGAAGGAGATAATCCACAAAAGCAAATCCCAAGCCATTGAAGAATCGACGAGAGACCCAACTTACGAATTATTATTATTCGGAGGGATACATCTTTATGCGACTGCGACTCCTTTGCCTAAATAGTAAACATTCTTAACCTTTTTCTTATATTATTTAGAAAATAAGCTAAAATCTGTAACTCATTCTTCTCAATTGGTGTGTACTTTAACTGCAGTTATGACTTTTGGTTTTCTCTATATGGAAAATTTTAGATTCTTTTTTTTTCTTTTTTGCCAATATTTCCTTTTTTTTTCTTTTTGTTAATTATATGTTTTTTTAAGGGATATTTTTGATACTAGATTTTTAAAAATAGTATTTCAATTTTCAAGAGATTTTTATTGTTTTAAGTTGGCCTATTCATCTTTTTAAATAAAGATATGTTGCTTTTTTTTAGTTTGAAAGAATGAATACATGATGGGTAATTTTTTTCACTAATTGCGTAAATTATTCAGTTATCCGAGACAGAAGCTTTTAATCTAAAAAT